ATATATAGATATAGATATATAGATATATATATATATATATATATATAGATATAGATATATATATAGATATATATATAGATATATATATAAGGTAAAGAGTACTGCTCCAAGCACTGAACCCCGATGAACTCCATGAATAATTTTGGTGTATGAAAACGATTCATTACTTATATTTCTTAAAGTCTGGAACTAATAATGGGTCGGCTACATATATATACATATATATAATACACACACACACACACATATAAAAGTGCTGAATGTCAGCTGACTTTTAAAAGAGTATAAAAACTAAATAAGATCCTTTTAAGGGAAATTGAAAAAAATACTCTGGAGGAAAAGGTTGGCGTAAGGGCTATAGCTTTCAACACCAGATGATCTGTGTCTTGATCCTGTACGCTCCACACTGGTTTGTCGTCATTATCTGCACCGTTTTTTGTCTATATTCTGATTTACCTCATTTTGTATTTTGCTTTGTGTGTTACCTGTTGTTCTGTCTGTACAGCACTTTGGTTGGCCGTGTTGCTGTTTTAAGTGCTTTATAAATAAAATGGTATGGTGTGGTAAGGGGGGACTGTGATTTATAAGGGTGGCCATTACCCCCCTTTGCTTGTGCCCCTGATAGCAAGATTATAGCTACTTTTTGAATCCAATTCTTGAAATAAATGAACTGTTTAATGGTCATTTGCTGGGTCGTCCATGATGGTGTGTGTGCAGCCAGATGATGGCAGCATCCTCTCAGCTCTGGACTCTCTGACGCAGTTTGGTGACATGGCTGTTTTTTTCATTCACAGAGATCATTTTGCACACATGCAGCAAAATGCATCATTAGCAGCACAAAATCTAAAATTATTCCCTGTTTTAAGAGCTGGGAGCAAAGAAACGCCATCTTTGCACGGATGTGATGGGAGTACTTTTAGTGCTACAGTGTTGGGGGGAGGGGGGCTGAAAAAAAAAAAAAGAAACACGATGTTCCAGCTGGAGAGGAATACCCACAGGTTTAAAAATAGGCCACAACAGCTCTTATATAACAACTGGGACGTCAGGGTTGTTTACAGTCTGGCTGCCTGGCAAATCAATGGGCACAATCCTGCATTAGGGTGCACATTTTATAAATCCTCATTAATCCAACCTTTATACCTGCCAGTCAAATGTAAAACACAAAAGTGTGCATTTAAGAGAAACAAGCTGCTGTTATAAATATACATATATACATATATATTAATATAAATAAAAGAGTTTTTAATTTCTTGCTTTCGTTTTTCAGCTGCAGGAATTATTCATTGAGCAGTTTCTGCTGTTTCTGTTTGTACAAGTAGGAAAACAAGGGGGCGGGCTTTGCCGTTCCTGAATGGCCGAATCAGCCAATGGGGAGCGCCGCTGCGCCGTGATTGACAGGCACTGCCCCTGCAGCACGCCCCGCCCCCTCCCTGTGACTCCGTGTTTTCGGAGCAGCAGCGTCACATGTTGTTTTTCTCCTGGAGGAGAAGCGCTGCGTCTCTTCTTTTCACTGTAAGTTCCCTCGTTTGTGTTTTTATCCTCAAATGACTGATTCGCTGAACTGGACTTGAAGAAGACGGAGAAATGGCGAGTCCTCCTGCGTCGGGGGGACACCTGTTATCCAACGGGACGGCGGAGGTGAAGAAGTGCGGATACCTGCGGAAGCAGAAACACGGACACCGGCGCTTCTTCGTGCTCCGGGAGCCCACGGAGCGCAGCCCGGCCCGGCTGGAGTACCACGAGAGCGAGAAGAAATGGAGGAACGGGTCCGCCGCCAAGCGCGTCGTAACTTTGGACTCGTGCCTGTGCGTAAACAAGCGCGCGGACGCCAAACACAAGTACCTCATCGCCCTCTACACCAAGGACGAGTACTTCGCGGTGGCTGCGGACACCGAGCAGGAGCAGGACAGCTGGTTCTCCGTTCTCACTGAGCTCATAGCAGAAGGGAAGGTGTTCGATAGCCCCGCCTCCACCTCCTCCTTAGTGGGCTTTGAGGAGGCCACCTATGGACACCTTGCTCCTGCAACTACCTATAAGGAGGTGTGGCAGGTCACCTTGAAGTCCAGAGGCCTGGGTCAGGTCAAGAACCTGACTGGGGTGTACAGGTTGTGTTTGTCCAGCAGAACCATCAGCTTCGTCAAGCTGAACTCTGAAACGGCGGCGGTCACTTTGCAGCTCATGAACATCAGGAGGTGTGGTCACTCGGACAACTTCTTCTTCATCGAGGTGGGCAGATCGGCGGTGACGGGGCCCGGGGAGTTCTGGATGCAGGCGGAGGACTCTGTGGTGGCGCAAAACATACACGAGACCATCCTGGAGGCTATGAAGGCCATGAAGGAGCTCTCCGAGTTCAGGCCGAGGAGCAAAAGCCAGTCGGCCAGCACCAACCCCATCTCCGTGCCCACCAGGCGCAACCTCAACAACCTGCCCCCTAGTCAGACGGGTCTGGTGAGGAGGTCCAGAACAGACAGCGTGGCCACTTCATCCCCTGGAGGGAAGTTCCTATCCTGTCGGATAAGAACGTCCAGCGAGGGAGATGGGAGTGTGACCCGGCCTGTGTCTATGTCTGTATCTGTGAGCGAGAGCCCCACCAGTCCCGGTTCTGGGATGCACCTCAACAGGTGCCACACACTCAGCAGTGGGCGCACCTGCAGGATGCTGGACTCCGCCTCCAACCTCCATCACAGCCGCTCCATACCGGTGTCCAACTCCCCTCCTGTTTCCTCCAGCCCCATAAGCGCATCGCCCAGAGGAGGGACCATGGTCTGCACTCCAGATAAAACCCGGCGGCCCTTTAGCTGCAGCGCCTCTATTTCAGGGTCCCTAAGTGACACCGGGTTCATTCTTTGTGATGATTACAGTTCCAGCCCCGGTGAACCTAGGTGCCTCTGCCTGACCCGCAGTAACACCCCCGACTCTTTGTCCAGCACGCCACCATCCCATGACAACAGTGACCTTGGTGGTTACATGATCATGGAGGGAGCTAACGGCAGCAAGTCTGGAGCCAAAGGTTCAGCATTTGACAAAGCGTACAGGAAGCGAACGCATTCTCTCACCACCCCACGCCAACAAAAAGTGGTGGCATCATTGTCTTCAGCTTCTTTGGACGACTATACCCTCATGAGGATGGCTCACGGGCAGAATTCGCACTCTGCCTCACCCAAAGTCTGTTACCCAGAGGATTACGGTGACATCGAGATCGGCTCATCTCGGAGCTCCAGTAGTAACCTTGGAGACGACGGCTACATGCCCATGACACCAGGTGTAGCACCTCCATCTGGCAAGGCAGACAACTATGTCCCCATGAGTCCCATGTGTGTTTCTGCTCCGAAGCAGATCGTGAACCCCAGGATTCATCCCCAGGCAGCTGCAGGTGGGGGCCACAAAACCAACTCCCCCTGCAGCAGCTCTCTGGAGGACAGCGGTTACATGCCGATGTGGTGCGGCTCCAAATCCTCTATGGAGAGCCCTGACAGGCATGGCGAGTACATGAACCTGTCACTTGGAAACCCCCCTCCTCTTCAGACTCCACCTGATTACTTCCAGGGTCCACTTGCAGGTGAACCAGCTTCTTTTCGGCCAGCCTACCAGACCGGGTCCCTCACCCTGCCGGCAAAACTTCAGGCATCCAAGAATGAGGATAGTGGTCAGTATGTGTTGATGAGCCCCCAGAGCTTAAAGAGGTCAGAGGGATCAGACTACTACTCTGTGATGAACCCTAGTGCTGCTCAGACTTCACCTCTAAGCCCCTCAGTACCCGCCACGATCAGACACAACCGAGCCGAGAGCCTGACTTACAGGGGGAGGCTGGGTCGGCCTAATAGACTGTCCCTGGACACCCTACGGACCCTGCCCAGCATGAATGAGCATCCTCTCCCTGGAGAGCCCCGGAGCCCTGGCGAGTACATTAACATTGACTTTGGCAGTACCAGATCCTCCCCACCCTCCATCGTCTCTACGGAGAGCTGGTCATCTTGGGGATCCAGCAGTGGGGGCCCGGGTAGGTCGTCGTCGGTGGACTACATCAGCCTGGAGCTGGGCTTGCGCTCCCCAAAAGAGGACGACGCTCCTGCTGAGAGCCTGGGTGCTCTCCCAGAGTTCCCTTGCTCGGGGGAGGATGAGGAGTACCATGTGGAGAGGGAGCACGGCATTGGTGATGAAGTCAAAGACGATTACACTGAGATGGCATTTGGGGGTACCATCTCACCCCCGCACCTTTCACCTCAGAACTCAGCAAGGTTTGTGTCCGGCCAACTCACAACAACAGCTCTGTCAATCTGTGTCCGGGATTACTCTCAGCTACTATCACACCACATTTTGTCAAATTGAGTTCTAGATAATATTTAGCCGTGGTGACCATTTTGAATTCCACTCTAAAAGTTAGTTGATGTGTATCCAGTGATTACTCTCTGGAAGTTTCATTAAAAGCCTTCCAGTGATTCATGGGATATTTTGCTAACAGACACAGGCAGTATTTATTCTGTAACATCAGTAAACAGAAAAACTGTGTGATGTATCTCATATATGTGTTGTTTTCCAGCAGCCAGAGCAGCAGGGAGCGGCAGCTCTCGCGTGAGGACCAAGGTGTCCCAGAGCACATCGGAGTCTTCCTCCTCGGAGGACCCTCAACCACCAACCCGGACTGCTCTGCCAAGGTCATCCGGGCCAATCCTCAGGGGCGGCGGCGCCACAGCTCGGAAACCTTCTCCTCCACAGCCACCGTGACCCCCGTCTTTCCCTCGTTCGCCCGTCCGGACTTGGTGAAGAGGCCCAGCTCGGTTGAGAACGTCTCGTCCCGGAGCAGTGAGGGCTCCGACGAGGAGTACAGCAGCCCCGTGAACCGCCACAGCTCCGGCTACGCCAGCGGGCTGAACTACATCGCCTTGAACCTGCTGGACCACAGTGATGTGGAGAAGTGTGGCGACCTGGTTGGCTTTAAACCCAGCAGCTGCAAAGGGGGCATCAATGGATTACACAGCACTCCATACGTCTGCTTGGGCTTCAAGGAGGGGGCAACCACTGCCAAAGGTGGGTGAAACTGCTTTAAAATGTATACAAGCATGTACTTTAACCGTTTTACGTTTCTTTCCTTCACTCCATAGCAATATGCAAAGCTGATGCTGTACAGCTGGCAGTTGGTTGACGGGGGGAGGGGTGAAAAGATCAAAGCGTTTTGCTCAGTTTTCAGATTGGCTCTGTGGTTTTCAAATAAGTAGGTGGTGCCTTCAGAAGCTCCGAGCTTTCACCGTCAGCCACTTTTGTTACTGTGAAGAATGTTTACGGTTTATCGGCGAGCACCGTCAGCCTTGTGCAAACTAAAGGAAACGCACGGTCGAACATTGTTGGCTCTTCCTCGCTGCATTTAGGAACCTCTGTGCAGTCTGAGTGTTCTTTTTTTTTTTTTCCCCCCAGCGAGCGTGAATGCAGCACGCAGCACAATGCTGGTGTGAAACGTGAGCTAGGAAGTAAACAAGCGGCCTGGCGGAGCCGCAGTAAGCCGAAGCTGCAATGGAAACGAGCAGAAAGAGGTTGGAGATTGATTCCAGCCGTGGGCATTTCCGGTTGTTGTTCTTCTCTTGGGTGGACATAAGGACGTGCTGCACATCGTGTCCCTTATTCCCACCATCCTCAGATCAATAACTGCATCCCAGAATATCCCAGTGAGCGAAACAACAGCATCTTCTGCTGGCGTGCAGCGTAAACAAACTGCATGTGGAAGCTTGGCCCCCCTGACCCCAGGGGGGATAGCTGACATGTGCTGGCAGTCACGTAGAGGTTTTGGGGGGGGCGGGGTATGAGGGGTTAAAAAGTTTGAACCCTGACAGGAGAGGCCCAGTACGGTTAGTTCACATGAAGTGTGGAATGTGCCACAAAAACCAGCTGATTGAGCTCCTCCTGTGATGTTTAGGATTTGAGCACAACTGCTTGTCTGCAAAATATTTTATCAAAACTTTTATTTTGTTTATAAAAATAGAGTAGTCCCTCAATATCGTGGGGTTTACGTTCCAGACGATAGGTGAAAAACCACAAAGTAGGAACTCTATATTTATTTTAGTATTTATATATATTTTAAGGCCCTTTCCACACTCTTGCAATGTTCTTAACAATGTTCTAATCTCTTAAACCTACGTAATTTTAACAACGTACGTGTATGTACTGTACAGTACTGCAAAATTGTACATGGGTCTCACCAGTGAAGATACTACAACTTGTAGGATGAGTTCAGCTTCAGGACTATTTGTGACATCCTGCCAGTTCTGTGAGCTAGATCATTACTTCTGACTTTGCGTTGCAAAACTTTCCCTCCATTTTGGTAGAAAGCAGCATCCCAAAGCACTGTTGGCTTCTGGGTATTGTAGTCCTTTTGACTGGCTTATTGAAAGAAAACTGCAAAATGGATTTAATTATTATTTTTGTTAACTTTTTGTCCCGTACAGTTTCAATCACATGGATAATATTAAAGTTGATAATCTTGTGTCGTGTACAATCTTACATTGAAAAACCACAAAAGAGCGAGTCCACAAAAGTTTTTTCGTATTATGCTACATTTCGTGTATAATATAATGTAAACTTTAACTCCTGCAGTTTAAACAGATTGAAATTTAAGTTCAGGCAGCAACAAACATAGTTCAAATCATCAGCCATCAAAACAAACATGATACAGTAAAAGCTGCCAGGTTGTATTTTTGGAACCAGAGTCTGTGCACTAATAATGTTGTGCTTTAAGCCCCGCCTCCTCATCTCACAGCAATCATGGGGTGGCCAGATAACTTTTCTTTTTAAGTATGAGACAACAAAATAGCTAACCTTATTAGAAAATATGAATACTAGATTATACAGCAGTTGGATGAGATGTATTTTTATTTTTTAACAAAAGCGACATCCTGTTTGTTTACATGGAGGGGGAGGGGCTTAAACTTGAACAGCGCAGTGCTCTGCTTTAGTTTCAACTTACGCACTTAAACATAAGGTTTCAGTGAATTGCATTTAAAATTCTGATAGTGACTGGAAAGTTTAGAAGTAAAACCTTTCCCCACCATTCTTTGTAATTATGTGTGTGCGGGGAATAACAAACGTCAGGTAACTGGAGGTCAAAGTCTACATTCCTGGCAAAGCTGGTTTGAACCAGTAAAGAGCCGCTTTAGTTGTTTTGTTGTTTTTTAAATCTTGTGTCCAAAGATCGAGGCTCATTTTAGCTCACATTCAACCCAATCAACAAGCTGGAAAATCCCATGAGAGCTTTAATTTCTGCTTCGTTTTAAAATAATTTGTGGTACAATTTAAGAATTGCTGTTGCTAAAAACGCAAAAAATCACCTGTGTTGCCCCCGCCCCCTCCCCCTATCTGTTCCATGTTTTGACTGTGAAAATACTTTTACGGCGCCAATAAAGCTTGTAATTGACGAGGGAGAAGAGGGGTGGAAAAAAAACAAGTCAAGTACACGCATGTGGACCGTTGCACGTACGCACTCGGAGCTGTCGGCTGTTTTTTCCTTTTTTTTTCCCTTCTTTATTTTCTCGTCTTTTCCGTGGTGAAAAGCAGAGGCTTATAGTGGGTTGTTTTGTTTTCCGGAGCAGTTCGCCCGGCCCACAAACAACTGAGCGCGTGGGGAAAGGATGGCACGTGCACTCTGCTGCCCTTCTGCCTCCTTAGGCTGTTCACTTACCAGAAGCAAGAAAAGCTGAGGAGGAGGAAGAGGGAAGGGGGTTAAAGCGACAACAATTACAAGCTGGCACTTTCTGAGGTGCGTTGGAGGAGCTCAAAGAGGCGGGCTTGTTTACCGAACACTCGGTTCTGCTGCCTCTCCGGGGTGAAAGAGGTAAAAGAACACGGCGGGGGCTTTATATACCAGACGTCCCACTGGGCTCCTGACCCAGAACTCTGCAGCCAAACACCTTTTACTGATTAGTTGGCTTGACAGGACATGATCAAACCCATTAACCCTAACTGTTCAGTTCCTAATCAGGGAAAACAAACGGGACGCGTTTATTTTGCTGCAACTCCCCACCGTCAGTCAGCCCAGACGCCTGTCATAGAAGTTTGTTTATGTCTTGCTGCTTTGTCGGCCCACGTGACCCCCCTCGGCGGGGGCGTTTTGTCTCCGCTTGTGTCTCAGCCAGGTGGACGGTCTGTACCGCAGCCGGATTAGCCAAGTCTTCCGACTCCCTGTCCGACCAGTACCTTTCATTTGAAGCTCGTAGTGTGGCGTGGCAGCGCCGCTTTCCCCGTGACAAGTGAAGACACTCGTTCTACTTTTCACTCATCACAATACTATATTGTGTAGTTAAGACTAACGGCAAGAAGACTGGAGGTACTTCGATGTTCAAAATGGAGGTAAAGGGCTTGAAAGAGGGAAGGACGACTTCTTCTTGCCAGTGCTCGTGGCAGATGGCCTCGTTCCAAAGGGGGGAAGTGTGTGAGAGCATCAGGGATATAGTGAAGGGGGAAAGGGGGGGGGTCAACACCTGCCACCCATCTTCACTCACATGCAAACGTTCTGATTCCACTCGTTTCCCTGCTTCATGCACATCCCAGCATGTAAACTTGTATAAATCACTGCGTTTCACTCTCCACAGTGTGCATCATTTTGCACTCGCTGCCCCTTTGCTAATGACAGACCACCATCTGCTGCACCCACTGCCTGCACAACTTCAGCACCGAGTGCGTTTTGTAATTTGCATGTCAGATTAGAGACATCCATCTAGATCCAGCTCCCCTCCCTTACGTCATCAGTGATGTCATTGCAAAAGAGGATGCAATGGGTCGGTCCGAGCGCACCCAGGGGATGTTCTGCACTCATTTCAGCCCGTGTGTGCTGCTTGGGATGCAATGAGGAGGGTGAAGCGAGCAAAAGAGCATCCCTGATTCACGCTTTGGAGCGAAGTCGATAGCGGTTCCTGAAGTCGATGTGGGGATCCTCGCTGTCGGTCAGCGGTGAGAACGTTACAGAAACGGGAATATATTTAAAAACTAATGGAGAAATTATTATAATGTACAGAAAATTGACAGAAAACAAATGACAAAACATTGCAGTGTTTCCACTGCTGTTATCGAAGGATAATAATATCGAAGCTAACCCCCGACAACTACCGGAACTAACATAGCGCTAAGCTAGTGCCGCACAATACAGATGTGCTAGCTAAAAAGCTATAGACATAGCACTCCGCTTCTCTCATGCTTCCCCTCCTGGGCAACAACTACCGGAACTAACATAGCACTAAGCTAGCGCCGCACAACACAGATGTGCTAGCTAAAAAGCTATAGACGTAGCACTCCGCTTCTCTCATGCTTCCCCTCCTGGTCAACAACTACTGGAACTAACGTAGCGCTAAGCTAGCGTGTAACACAGACGTGTCTCCATCTCTCTACCCCCTTGGCAAAAAAAAATCCGCAGAGCGGATGAGCACCCTGCCAAGGCAAGTGGCCTAAAGGAAACACTGCATCAGATCCGAAAAAATGTTTTTCAAGTTATCATAACCATTAAATATATTTGTGTAGCATTCAGGTTTTTTTTTTAATATCCTCTTTTCAACTTTTTTCTAATTTAACTTTTTTTTTTTTTTTGCCTAGCATCTGCTCTAAACCAATCAAGTTCTGTTTTTATGTTAGACCACGCCCCCTTCTTTTCTGAGCCAATCAGGTCCTAATTTCTATTTGGTTTCCGCCCCCAACTGCTCTGGTCCAATCGTATTTTAGAACAAGTTTCATACGACTCCTGACAACTACACCTCACTTATTGTTTAGAAAATAAAATGTATTTATTTTGTTGTAAAACATTTAATGAATCGTAAATGCAAATTGTTCATAAGTATGCTCTTATCAGTTGTAAATATCCAAATTTTGTATAAAATTAAACATTTTACGAAGCAAACATAACTTTTTCAGAGATGTTAAATATAAAAAAGTATAAAAAATTTGGTTTCAAAACTATTTTATTAACAATAAATCAAAAATGAGTTTGTTCTTTTATTTAAAAAAGACAAAATGCAATTTTTTTTTTAAGTTGTGGTATTTATTCGCAAACAAAA